ATAAAACAAACAAACAAAAAGCATATCTCAAGTGCATTCAAGGTGCTATACTAAATGCAACAAGAATTGTCTCCATTCATACTACCATTCCGTTTTATTATAAGCAAGGCAACCACCACCACCAGCTCACCTGAAGGTCTTGATTGTATATTTCTGCATGTGAAATTATAGCCTTTAAGTTGGAAATTTCATGCATTAGTTGCATCTGTGGAGCAAGTGAAGCAAATAGCACAGCAGTTATGAAGCACCCATCAGTTTAGTTTATCTGCCATCACCATCAGAAAGATAAGTAGCTTTGCATTAAAAGATTCTGTTAGAACCACTCAATTTTAGATAAGCATCTGGTTGGTACTGCAGGAAATACTGTTTATGCATTTCTTAAACTGGAGAAAAATTCTAGGAAACAAAATCTCAACATTGGGTTACTAACAGAGTGGCTAGGTTTGTACATGATGCTGTGCAATAATGACTTGGTTAGCACATAACACTAAGCCAAAATGAAATAAGCCATGTTTTGGCTCATCTCAAACTTAATCACTGTGGTACATAAACCATGGCTCAGTGTATTATGTGTACTTAGTCAAAAGCAAAGCGTAGCTTTGTAAGATGTGTGAATCCAGTACAGGTAGTCCCCAGTTTAAGAATGAGTTTCATTCCCAAGGTATGTCCTTAAGTTGAATTTGTATGTAAACTAGAACAATATTATTGTATAATACTATATAAGTAGTATTGTGTAATGAACTCGAACAATTGTGTATTTAATTCAAATCACTGTGTATTTAACTTGAATTTTGCTACAGTAAGCTCCATTCTTAACTATGGGTGGTCTGTTACCCGGGTGTTCTTAACCTGGGGACTACCTGTAATTGTTTATTACTTCTTGGTCTTTCAAAATAGAATGCCTTGGTTGCAAGGTTAATATTTCATTGTTGTTCACAAGAAGTTTAATTCTGGATGGGATTTTACTCCTACCTGAAAGATCAAGCTCACATCTCAAAAGATGTCATTTAGTTTATATAACTGATTATTTGTGGCAGTTCAAGGTAGAAAAAGATACAAGTATAAAACATAATAAAACTTAAAACAATTCATTCAGTGGAGGAGAAAATGCCACAGCTGAAGATAAAAAACTTTTTGATATTACATATTTGCACCTTTTCTGAATTTACTATGGCTGCTGTTAGTGATGGCTTAAATATCATCACCCTGAATGTCCTCAGAATGGAAACTGAAATATACAGTATTTCGCTGTTGTATCAACCCTAAAAAAAATTGGAACTGGAATTTCCAGTTAGTTTAAACTATAACTGAATGAAATGTAATTTTGCATGTTCTGAAGCAACTGCAGTGGCATTTAGTCTGTTTGCAATTCACAATAAAATAATGCCTTTAAAATTTATGGAACTATTTCATATGCACACATACAATCCTTTTTCCTCACCTCCTGCTCTTCAGAGGCCTCTTTCTCAAGGGCCACAAACTCACTGGTTGACATTTTCTCACGCAGCTCTGTGAGTTCATAGACCAGCTGTTCTTTCTCGAAGCACAGAGTATCCAGTTTTGCTTTTATAGTTTGCTGTTCAGTGACAGCATTATCCTAGACAAGAAAGGAATGGAGGAAGTCACATCTTTTACCCATAGCTTCTGGTTGAATATCCTGCACCCACCAAAATGACTCACCCTTTCTTCTAAAAGGCTTTGGCAAAGCTGAATTGACTCGGCAAAGTCTTTAGGACTCTAGAACAAAAACATTTCAGTAGGCAACAAAATTCTTCTACTTTGCAAGATATCAAGCAATCTAATGGAGCCTCAAAAATGATGTTGCTTAAAACCATTCTTCTTCATCATCAAATTAAGTTCTCAGCTGGAAGAAAAACTCATTCATTACATTTAATAATGTGGAAATAATGTTTATTTTATTGGATTTGTACACCACTGAATCATATAGACCTAGCTGGGAATGAAAATAATGAGAAAAAGGAAAACCCATTCTGTTTCTTTCCTGAATGTTTACAGAGCGATTAAGACGCTTCTGACATAAAAAAAGAGGAATTGAGGGAGACAGTTTTCTACAGGCAATATTTTCCCTTAATTTCCAATACTTCCAATGCATGTTTGCCCATTGCATGGGAAAAATTGGTCTAACAATAGATCCAACCCTCTTGGCAAATTCTGCTTTGTGTTCTCGTCAGTCCATAATACTTACAAAGTTTATTTCAGATCCTGGGATCCATTCTTCCTCAGGTATTACAACACTGGCTGTCATGAACTGATCATCATATTCTGAGAATTCCGAGGAGACAGCTAAGAATTAAAAATACCCCCCGCAATGTAAAATTAAACGGAAAGGGAAATTCTATGGAACATTTTTAGAGAAAAGGTTTTAGAGAATAGCTATTTTTAGTCTCAATTGTCACCAAGTGGCAACCATTCCATTAGATGTTTTTATACCAGCTAATTGTGAACTTTAAGCAATCTGAGCTTTTTTCCTTGCTCCTCTCCATTTGATTTGGCTGCTTACTTAACTCTGTGAAGTGGCTTCTGTCCTAGTGAACAATACAGATTTTATACTAGTCATGCCACACTGAGTGCCTTGGGCACAAGCATCTGCTAGATCAATACGTTTGGACACTCAGATCTTTCCAATCCTTGGAATCTGCTGTCAGATTCAAATTTTCTTCAGAGCAACTGAGAGAGAAACTGAACTTGGTAGAGGTAGGCCTCGTTTAACAATGCTAATTGGGACCAGAAACTCTATTGTTAAGCAACGCAGTTGTAAGTCAAAAAAATCATGTGACCACGCTGCTTAGCGACAGCAGTTCTGGCAGTCCCAGTTGCCATTGTTCAGTGAGGACCGCATGGGTTGTTAGAGGACTTCATGTGATCGCAACTTCCGACTTCCTGCCAGCTTCCTCATTGACTTTGCTTGTAGGAAGCCGGCAGAGAAAGTTGCAAATAGTGTTCACGTGACCGTGGGGACGGCCAAAAGTACGAGGTCCAGTCGTAATCATCACTCATTCAGCACCATCATTAAGTTTGGATGGTCCCTGAATGAGTGGTCACTAAATGAAGACCACCTGTAGTTAAAGCCAGGAACTTCATCCTTCACAGTTCCTCTCATATCTAACAGAAGCCAACAGCATCAGGTAATTGACATGTAGTTTAAGCACACCTTCTAAAGAGGCATATGGGTGTCATTTACTATTAGCAATTTTCTACAAATGACAAATTTTAGTTTGCTATAAGCCACAATTAACTGGTGTATTCCTTTCAGGATATTGGATTCTATTAAAACATTTTCTTAGGAAAAGAACTTACATTCTTCCATCTCTGTGAGAGAAGATAAAGAAGCTTTAAAGCGTTTAGCTCTACCAGGAAAGTCTTCCAAGAAAGACTTTCCCCCATCTTGGCTTACTGCCCCAGGGGCCCAGGTCACACGCCTCTTCTTTTTAGCCTTAAAATAAAAACAAACACACACAATATGTTGGTCAGCCTTCCCCACCCTCCAAACATGGGATTTCTTAGCCAGCAAGCAGGTTAAGGAATTCTGAGGCATGCAGAAGTACCTGGAGTGTACCAATCTGGGAAAGGATGATATAAAAATGACCTGAAATTTGTTCTCTGTAGAGACAGAAGCTCTAGCAGAAACTAGTGTTAGGAGTTCTAGCAAAATTATTGGCAATGTTGATTCTGAAGTAAACTTTGACAGGGAAGGAGTAGAGCAGAATCTTTCATAAATGTAACAGTACCTGTCATTATGACCCACTAATTTTAATTTAGAAGAGCCTGACAAACAATGGTAAAGTTTTGTCTAGAGGTAATACTATGCTATTAGTATAAGCTTGAGGAACTCAGCTAGAGTTCTGACCAACATGATGAACTGCCAGTTGAAGACATATTTTCACGAAGACAACAGAAGTTGAATTTGATTTAGAGGAGACTTTACTATTCTCTCTAACAGTAATTGCAGAACCATTAAAAAGTACCATTTCATACAATTACAATTACTTCTATCACCAAGATGGGAATGAAGACTTTCCATGTTTTTCCTATTCCAATGTTTAAATCACCAGTGCCTTAAAATGTATCTCATGTTTTATGTATCAATATTCATTTATTCTGAACTACATTGGAGGCATTTTTAGAATTTAAAAGATCTGGAATTTAAGAAATGCTACCTGTTTTGAGAATTATCTTATTTCTTGCATCAGTATCCTATGGTTTGTCCAAATATATTTCCCATATCATAAATGCAACCATTCATCCTTGTAGCCTTGCTTTATTTATTTATAAGATTCGCATGGCTGCCCCTCTGAAACCACAATTCTAGCTCACAACAATAAAACTCAGAACTATAAAGACCATAAAACATAACACTAAAACAAAACCTGACACTTCAATCATCCCCTTGGCATGCCCGACAACCAACTCCAGACATACTCACTGTATTGCAGTACCTGGGTAAAAAGCCAAGTCTTGATGGCCAAAAGGCTAAAAGGATGGGGGCCATTATGTTTATGCCCACCCTCCCAAAGATAACAATTTCAAAACATGCAACAAATGTGTCTCCTAACATTCTGCAAGATTTAATTTTCATACTTTTAGCTCCCGTTCTTGCAAAAAAGAGGATGCAGTCACTAGCATTTCTGTGAGTGCTCTTATCCTGTCTTGCTGCTGTTTCTGAACAGAATTCTTCTCTTCCAAGAGTTGCGCTAACTGATTTTTGGTATGAGAATGCGATGAAACCTAAAACAAAAGACATCAGTGCAGATTATCAAATGGAAATTTTGGTCTGCAAGGAAATCAGTAGGAACAATTTGAACATTATCATTCATATTACAGGGTAGTTACTTAAAACTGCAACCATATGATCTGTGGAAAGATGTCCCAAGAAAGATACTATCTGTGGAATGATGTCCTAAGAAACAGAGGATATTTTTGACTTCTTCAGATGGAGATCATAGAAAGATCAGACACTTTGAAAGTCAAGACAAATGTTGGATCCAATGGATAAACCACCTCCTGCTCCCCCGCCTTCCCAACAAAAATGGAAATCTATCCTAGCTGTGAAATTGACATGGCTTTTCTCTCTAAGTCTCTCTGACTATAAGTCAAGAGAGGAGAAATAAAAACAGTTAGCTACAGATTACTAAAACATAATAAGAAGCTCCTCCCTTCTGTTGTGGCTATCATGAGTCACAGGTTTTGGGGTTCTTCCAGATTACTCTGTCCAGCTTCTAATCAGTTCTAGAAATTTCTGTTTGTACCCTAATCCTGCTCCTAACCCTAGATGCATTTTTTTCCAGTTTTTCAGTTTGTCCTAATACTTCTGCCAGATTCAACTAAAATGGAGGCAGCATCTAAACATACATAATAAATCATAGTAATCATTATAAGGCAACGAAGCTCAGAGTTTGAAAGTCTGTAACATGCACCATTCAAGAAACTGGGCCGATGACTTAGGAGTTTTTAGAAGAGGAATACTTTCAAGGGGCCTGGTTGGATTTGGTCTGTGGGGCACCTCGTTTAGGCTAGGCAACTTACTTCTTCCAGTCGGCGTTTCAAATCTTCTATTTCCTTACGGTACCTCTTTAGAAGGGCATCATCATCAAGAACTTCATTGACTTTGGGAGTATTCTTCATCTTTTTAGCTGTACTAGCAAACTAGAAGAGGTAAAATATGTGGAGAAGATCAGTAGTATAATAGAAACCAGAATGAAACACTTTTTAATCTTGTTTGGTTAAAATTATAAACTGAAAACATGCTGTTCTTACTGGGTATTTCTGCTATAATGCATACTTTTTTCATTATGGAGAGCGTTTTTTTCCCCCTATGATAGCAGCTTGTGCAAACATAAAATTGAGACATAGATAAGAACAACAGCTACTTCTGCCCTTTGTTGATTTACTATATAAGAATTCCAAGACAGGATCAGCCAATAGTTCATCAGACTCAATCACAGAATAGCACCTGGAAGGCCACAAGTTCCTACCTAACCCCACTTTTAAGTTTAGATCCATGTATGAACAGATCCTGTACATAGGGCTCAGTTACCCCAAAGGATACTTTTCAGCTATCTGCCTCTAAGGAGTAGCAATACAAGCTCTAAGAGCTTCAGAATCAATGACTTGTAGTGATGCTAAAGTTGGAAGATAAACAGAAAATACAACAAATCAACAAAATAAAACTAAGTAGAAGACATTCTACTAATCATTTGCTACATAGCACAATACTTGGGGAGAACATATGAAGAATAATCATATGAAGAATAATTATGGCACATAGTCTTGAAGTGATAATTGCTGTTTGCACTTTTCTGCTTGTGATTATCCATGCCCAAAATGTTCTTTTAGCAAGAACATTTAAAAATTACCTGGAGAGTGCTAAGAGTTTCTTCCAATGATACTGGAGTAATTGTACATATGATAACAGTCTTAGCATTTCCACCCAGGGAGTTCTGAAGAATTCTTGTTAGTTTGCTGTCTCTGTAGTTGATAAAGCCTCTGATGCAATGGGATGAAAGAAGGAAGAATAAAATATTACGTATGAGGCTGAGGGAAAACAGGTTCAACAGCCAACTTATTATTCTTAGGACAAAGTGAGAGCATTAACCAGTGCAATAAAACTATATAGATGAAAAAATGTGAAAAAAGATGCATGTTAAAAATTAAAGTCTGGAAAAAAGGAGATTCAGAGCTCATCAACCTTCTGCTGCTCCAGTTCAAACATGAAATTATTATTTTTTTCTTACCCAAACTGATCATCACAAAGTTTCTTGATAACTTGGCCCAAGATGAAGAGGCTCCGGTTAATATTACACCCTTCTTTAAGTCGAATCCCTAAGCATATACATAATAAACACCACCTCAGACTTTCTTGTATTGATTTAAGACAACATAAATAAATTATCATTTTAAGGCCATGTGAAGAGTTGTGTTGAATCAGATATATAACCTACATAGTCCAGCATTTTTTTTGACAAGTAAACTACTGGATCCTTTTCACTGACAAGTAAACTACTGGATCCTGAATCCTCCTATTCAGATTCCCCAACAACTGCAACTGAGAGGCATGGGACCTCAACAACAGAGATACCAGAGCCACCACAACTAGGAGCCACTGACAGCCTACACTCCATGAATTTGTCTAGTTCCCTTCTAAAGTTGTCCATACTGATTTCAGGGCATTAATGTTTTAGGATATCTAACCTTAAGTGATTACAGAAGGGAGAACATAATCTAGCACACATTATTAAAAATTATCTGTACTGAGATTCTATTTCTACATTTCTAGCCAACAACGGCCATTTAAGTTGATGTAGATATAACATTACAGTTCTTGGTGATCAATATGTTTCCTTTATTAAGAGCTATTCATTTAGGAATGGACAACTATATGTTATCCTCTATTCCACATGACTATAATTAATTCAAAACAGGAGTTTCTCTGGAAGAATCTCTCTACTTTACAGATTGTGGAGAAGATAAGGGGAGAACCCTACTGTATGTCCATGCCAATCTAAGTACCTTTGAAGGATGGCAGGAAATGAATGTAATCTACTTAATACAGCAAATTAAGAACAAGGTACTACAGATTTACAGAAAATCTCACTGAAGAGCAGACACATACCTTCAGCCCCTGTTTGGCTAGCTCTTTCACTTCCTGCCAGATCTACTAAATTCTGAAAAATTAAGACAGAGTTTTTTAGGCTTAGATTTTATTTAAGTTCACTTAGAAAGTTTAAACCCTTTTGCCTTCAATGGAATTTGCTGAAGAGCACAATAAATTATTGGAACTGATGAGTCAAACTTACTGAAATTCAGAAAGCACTAATATAAAAAAGTGAGGTTCCTGCTACTGTTTTAACATAAACAATTTGATAGGATGCATATTAGAAATTTATGAGCTTATCCATTCTGAGTTTAAACCAGACACATGGATGAGCATAAATAAATGTTATTTAATATTTATAAAGTTACACCAGTGTACTATCATATCCCACTTATACGTCATGTGCTTTCTTACAAATAACTCACCAAATGAGAAACCATTACAGCTTCCTCATAGCTTGAGCTAGAAGTATCCTTTTCTTTGCTTTCAATGATCTTTAAAAAAAAAGTAGTACCATGAGCCAGATTTAGCAGCACTTTCATATATTAGAGAACAGAACTAGACAAAAAAATTCACAATAAACATTAAAATGCACATACATGATCAAACAAAAACAAACAAAATGAACATAAGAGCAGTAGCAATGCAAGATCTAAAACACTATTTTAAAAAGTCCTTAAAATGCCTGGAAGAATACATAGGCATTCAACTAATACAGAAAAAGGCATTGTGTAAGTGACATCCAAGTCATTCAAAATAGTAAGCCATAGTTAATCTGTATACGGTTGGAAGGCAGGACATGGAGTAATGATCTTAAGTTATAGGAACACAGATTCTAGTTCAGAAAAAGCATCCTAAAGTGAGAGCAATTTACAGAGGCTCTGATTACCTAAGGAACTGGTAGGGTCTTCTTCTCTGGAAGGCTTCAGACAAGACTAGATGTCTGAGATGTTTTAATTTAGTTTCTGAATACAGGATGGACTTGAGGGCCTAAAAAGTCTTCCAACTCAGTGGTTCTAAGTTTTTCTTGGAAAGCATGTCATAGATAAATCAATATAATTTAATAAGATCTTACCCTATCTGGCAGTAGTAGGGCTACAAAAAACTGGAGGACCGCCTGATGACAGCTGAAAGACCTCTCCTGCCATACAGTAGTCATCTAGAGTTTTGTAGTCCAAACCTGGTACCCTTAAGAAGGAACACTTGGAGGAGAGCCCAAACAATGGTCTTAGAGTCCAAATAAGTAAAAAACTACAGATGTTCATCAGATAACCTCCTTCTATTTATAATTTTAAAAATTAACCAGCATTTTGAATTGGGTCTGTGCAGATACCAAAACCCTGACAAAATATATGATTATATTAACTAGTCCTGTACCAGCAAGTTCATCCAGTTAGCCTATTTTGCACTACCTGAAATGTCTAGTTTGCTTTCCAAGGCAGCCCAATGTACAATACACAGTAATAAAACATAAATGTATACCAATTATTAATCTAGGATTAATTAATATTTCATGATTATTTGAACTATTTTTTTAAAAAAAGTTACAGTTCACATAACACCAAGCCACAACTGGAATCACAGATCACACTAATTGTAGTACACTGTGTGCACCAGGTTAATTTCCCCTACCTTAAGGGAACAACAGTCAACCTTTCCCAGCCTGACACCATTCAAAAACCATGTTGTCTCAGAATCCTTGGAGTTTCAGTCCCAACACATCTCTGGGTGATGCTAATTATTGTATATACTTTCCCATAAGGAATTACTTTATTTATCAGTATCCTGTATTTATTAGAAAATAATGCCCAGTACAAAGTATAAAGAAGAACAGGCTAAGGGAAAACATCATAGAGTCTGTTCACACCTGAAGGGCTATCCCAAGAAATAGGGTGTGGATTGATTCTTCATAGTGTGCAGGACAAGAACCAATGGATGGAAGCTGTACAGAGAGAGATTCAACCTCAAAATAATGAAGAATTTCCTGACCCTGAGAGCTATCAACCAGTAGAACAGCCTGCCTCCAAAATTATGCGTGTTCTATCAGTGTAGTTTTCAAGCAAAGATTGAACAGCCATTTGTCTGGGATGGTCTCAGGATTCCTGGTCTGGTCTGGGGGCCAGACTTGAAGACCTCCAACCTTATGATTCTGTGAAATCATGTATTAAACCAGGTTTTGTCGTATCTATGCTAAGAAACTAGATGGCAACAATGTTAAGGTTTTCTAATCAATAAAGAACATGCTACTCAAAGTCACCAATGGAGCATTAAATTTATCATCATAAATCCCAAAACCTTGAGGTCAGGATTTCCTTCATCATGCCTGTGGCCTTATTTGTCCTACAGGAGTCACTAAAAACATAAGTGCCTCAATCTATACGGCCCTCAGCCCAGGTTCTTTTACCTGGTGGAAGAGAAGTACCATTCAGTTTTTTGTATAACGTGCTTATTTAGTAGCTGCGTGGCAGATGCTACTGAACACCTAGCCAGGAACTAAAAGGCAGGAACATAAAAATTAGCAATCACTTACCATTCTAAAAATTGTATGAGAACGGCTGCTTCTCTCATTCATTTTTGTCTCACCATAGTGCCTGTTTTCTGTTTAGAAGAAAAATCAGATACAGAACTGGTTTATTCTAGGGCTCAGCAGATGATGCCTATGGACACACGACTCCCCCCCAGCTCCCATACCCATCAGACTGCTACATAACCCTTCCAATTTTGCACATCTTTCCTGGGAATTCTCATAGCAGCTCTTTACTTTCCCCAAAAAGGCAGATCACCCACTCCTGCTGTGAGTGGTGGCAGCAGCACAGCAATTTCCTCATCTTTTATCTTTAATGAAAGGGCTAAAACTTACTGTACCACCAGTGGCTGTTTCAGCATAGTGCTTTCATTGCTATGCGTGCACGTATGTTTGTGTGTGTGACTGACGGAGGCAGAAAGAAAATTATATATGTGAGCACACATAAGCATGTTCTCTGTGTGCAAGAGGAAGAGAGATTGTGTGGTGGGGTATCTATCTGCATATTATGTATGCTCTAGAGAGGAGACGATAAGCAAAAGTGTCTTGAAGATGGTGTGTATTCATTTGCAGATGCTCAGGCCTGACTTTTAACAGGTCTAGAGACCTGAGATTCGCATAAAATGCTCTGTATGCTTAAACCATGTCAGATAGGAAATCTTACTTTCTCCTTTTTCCAGCCAGCTCATAACCTGCTCTGGAGAAACCACTACTTCCTCACTCAGATCTTCAACATAGATTGTCCTCTACAAGAGATTGAAATATTAGGTTATTATTACATCAGTCAACAGTTTATATCAGTTCTGAGTATTGTATTTTGCATCCCTAATTGGGCTCAATGTTTGACTCTGGCTAAATCATGAATAAAACTTTCATAAAACCCTGGCCAGCCCAGGAACAGCCCGGAGAAATGGAGATTGGTGAGGGAGTGGCTGCAATGGGGAGGCTTGCTGGAGAGCAGCACTAGAGGCATGGAGGCCAATCCAATGGTGAGGCAAGAGTGGAGGCTGGAAGAAAGTGGTGTGCCATGGCCTTGATTTGTAGCACACCAGGACATAGGTGCTTTTTCTAAGCATAGGAAGTCCATTTGCTCTCCAGTCTGGAGACCTGAATAGTTTCAGATTCTCAACTGCCATCTTGAGTCTGGTTGCCTCAGCTGTTCTGGCTTCTTTAGTTTCCTGGATCACCCCATGCCTCCAGACAACCAATTATCTGTGCTGGAACTGCTGGATACCTGCCAGTCCAGTGATATAGGAGCTTAGGCAGAACAGTCTTTTGGAAGAAAAAAGTCCTCTTTACCAGCATTTTAGGATGGCAACAGCAAACCTAGTCAACAGGCTTGGTACAGGTTGAAATCAGGAATCTAATCAAACAATGAATCCAAGGGCAGAGGCAGGAGACACGATGGGGCAGAATCCAGAGTTCTAAGCACAGCAAGGAAAACACGGCAGAGATGACACTTGAAACTTGTTCTCGGTGTTTTCTCTCAGGGACTGAGGTCAATAAATCAGCCATGCCAAGCCTCTACCCAACTGAGGTACATTACTGTTCTTCTGCTGACCTGCTTCTTGGCAAGTCTCTCCAACCTACAGAGCTCAGCTTTTGGGTGTTGGATCTTTATCACACGCCTCTGCTTAGGACTGGGTAGCTGAAGTTCAGAGTCTGACAAGCTGTCAGTGGGTGCAAGAAAGGAGTTCTGGGAGCTTGCTAGATCCACCTCAGCCAGAGTGGAGCCTTGGCCTCAACTCTGCTGGAATCACCCACTCTAGGACTGTTGCTACTAAATGCCCATGGCTCCACTTCCTCCTCCTCCAGGGCCATAACACCTAGGAGGAGGAGTAGCTGGGACCTCCAAGGAATGTTTTGGTTTGTTGCAGGAGATCAAGGTCTGCAGCTGCTGGGGTGGGGTAGGTGTTATGTTACAGACTTACTATTAATCGCAATCTGGGATTGTAAGGACACTGGACTTTATTCCTGACTCCCTAGAGATTGCACCTCACATGAAAACACTCATGGGGGGCATCTTCTGTACTGGATATCAATCTACTTCTAGTGACAGTAGTATGGAACGTGGGTTGTGTGGATGAAAATGGGGTAAATGGAACGATTATACAGCTCAAGAGACACCAAAGGTGATTGGGTGAAGCGCTGATGCTTGAGTGCTTTCCTGGTCTAGCAAATGGTGGACACCAAGATGGGCATGGGTTGTGATGGGCAATGGGAGGTATGGTGGAAGGCTGGGAGTGGGCCACACTTAGGAAAGGAGGGATAGATATCTCTGATTGATTCCCACTTCCAGTTCTCAGTCTTCATCCCAAGAGCTAGGGTTTCAGGTCTCTGGAGCTTTAGGACTTTGTGGAACACCAGGTCTGTTTGTAATAAAAACCATCTTCATCCATGATTTAATCATGGAAGAGAGAACAGATATGGCCTGCATCATCAACACTTCTTGGGGGAGGAGGGGGACGTTTCCCTCTTGGAGAACTGCCCACATGGGTTTCTGGTCTGACTCCAGCTATGGCCTGAAGCTATGGCCCCAGGTAGGTGAGTTGGGTAGTCATTTTCATCCACGTGACTCTGCTGGCATCCAGAGGGACTACTCCACAGATAACCAGATATGAGACCCTATTTGTCCAGCAGGGCCCAAAGGGTTTGATCCTTGTATACCATCCTTCCTGCTGCACAGTGGCATCTGCCCTTACCCTGGTGGCTCACCTTTATCACATGGATGGTTGTGTAGTTTCCCAGACTGCTTGTGCTGAGAGACTTCAACCTGCTTTCCTTTGGTGAGGAGTCTGGAGCTACCTAGGATTTCATGGCCACAACCATGGACCTGACCCAACTTATTAAAGGCCCAACACACATGGGAGGTCACACCTTAGATCTAGTTTTTGTCCTGGGGCAAATGCAATGTGATCTGAAAATGGGGGGTATCAAACTCAGCCTCTTGTTGTGGACACATTTTGATTACTATAGCGTTTTGCAGTACCATCCAATGGGAGCTAGAACAGAGGCATTCTTATCACTACTCCCATACTTTAGAAATCCCTTTCTATGGATATCCAGTCTACCTCTTCCCTCCTGGGTTTCAGGGAGCAGTTAGGTTCCAGTTTTTCCATTTATTCTAGGAAGAAGGCATGCTTTCAATGCTGGAATGCATTGGTGGATACATGACTTCATCTATCTCTCTCTCCCCCTTATGATGCTATTGATATCCCTCCACCACCAGTGGGCTTGTTTTTACTGAGATTTTTTTCCTAACACGTGTCTAATTGTTAGCCACCTAGAACCTTTGGCAATGACCAGCATACAAATATTGGAAATAAATACTTAAATAAAATGATATTTACAGGATCCAAGGATGACCTTCCAAGTTATTCAAACCTATGTTTTCCCTCTCAATGCTTCTCCCTCCCTTAGTTTCAGCAGCATAATTAAGCATCCTTAGTTCTCCTACACTGATTATGACACCTAATATGGAAATGAAACATCTGCAACCCAAAACATACTCAGAGAACTCAAACAACACAACAGCTTCATCTTTCCCCCAAGGTTGTTTTTGTTAAATTATTAGAAATTTTAAAAGCCTGACTCATCTGCGGCACTGACTGATCAGAATCTACAGATCAGTCTTCTGACACTACATTTTAAGATAGTACATTGGATTTATAACCAAAGAAATGAATTTGCCAATTTTCAGAACAGAATTATTTTAGCAAACCAGAACCACACAAGAATAAAGCAGACACCCTGCCAACAAGGTTGATTTCAAGACCACATTGTTCCATAATGAAAGGATCTGTTTGGCCTCATGTACTTACATTGATGTCTTCACGAACAACTAATGGCTTCTTTTTCCTAATGTTACTGCATAGCAAATCTTGTATAGTTTCATTATGAATTTCCATGTATGATATACGGAGTAGGAATTCCCTATTTGGAATCTAAAAATTATGAGATGTTGCATTCATCAATATGTTTAAAGACAATTTGTTCTGCAAATATATTTTTATTCTCAATGCCATTAATCATAAAGCTTTCCTATCTGTATTCCCAGCCATAGTTTATTACTTGCTAGACTACAACTCTAATTACATCCAGCCATCTTGGTCAGTGATGATGGAAGGTGCAATCCAACATCAGAGGATTCATGTTTAAAGAAAGGCAAATTTATACATTGATAACACACTATTATCCATAAGAATTTTCTGGCTAAAATGCAGTCTTCTACCGTTCCTCAACTTGTAACAGTCCCAAGTTACAGAATGTGCAGTGAACTTAAACCCTACTCTCTCTATAAGATTAAAAAGCTTTAGCTGCTGTTTTGAATTTTGAAAGCATATTGTGGGCACTCTCCCAAAATTATTTTTCAGGCATGGCTAATTACATCTGAAAGCAAACTAATGAGATTACTCCACATCCTTTTGTCTAGCCTCCCAATGAGTTCTGTATGACCCCAACTTTTTCTGGGCAGATGAGCACGCTTTCCAGTGAGAACTCTGAGCATGCTGTAGTTTGGTTTTGGCTCTGGCAGACCCACTGATATACCCCAACCCCTCCTCTCATCCTTTCCACTGTAATCCTTGTACAGACTGAAGGTCAGGTCAGGTGGCCAGAATTTTGCACAGAATCCTCCCTGATTACTCTTCCTTTAAAAGGCACATGAGTGGTGTTAAATCAAAAGAACATTCACAGCTTCCATAAAGGGCTCTGGAGAGTTGGTTTGAACTCAGCATATTTTTGCATGAAGCTGGTAAATCAGAGAAGGGGACTCTCTGGTAACCCTCCATTCATTTTTTTGTAGCCTCTGGGAGGTCATGACACACACTCCGAAAAATACTGGCATAAGTGAAGCTAGGAATACTAGTTTTACTTGTTTCTGCAAAACTATTTGGGTAGCTGAAATATAAACATTCAGTAGAATCACTTACTCTGCAGATAGTATTGAAGACATCATTAATTGCCATGGGTAAGATACCTGGACTATCTTGGGTACCCAACATTGTGTAGGTTTTCCCTGACGCTGTCTGGCCATAAGCAAAAATAGTCCCTAAAAAGAAGCAGAATGATTAGCTCAAATCAATAGCCACGTGCAGAAGTATGCAAAAGGATTGATGATTAAAGTACCATTATATCCCTGAACAGCTGACTTGATAATAGGAGCAGCCACACCTTGGTAGACTTCCTTTGTACTGTTCTCAGAGTGGAACACACGATCTTCAAAAGAAGAAAAACAGACTTAATTTGTAGATACTGAACCCAGTCCCTGAAAATATCAGGCTAATACTTTGTAAGCTAAACCAGCATTTCACATTCAGTCCTCCAAAACCAATTCCTTGAGGATATATTATGCCAATAGTGAGCAACAATTGTACTGTATAATGAATGACCTGTATGATAGATATTAGCATTTGCAGTTATTTGGTTTATGCTAATCACAGATATTGATTATCTTTCATATCATATTTAATGATTAGACATGCAATTTATTCTGAATATAACCTGGAAAATGCACTGTAGTTCATCTTTCTAGGGATGAAGGAAGATGTAAGAAAATTCACCAGAGACAAAAGATCAGACAGAATGAGGTCATAAAATTCCTAGCAAAGGAACTACAGAAAAATGAAGTCAGTTGGAAAGCGGAAAATCAGAAAAAGGGCTAAAGACTAAAAGAACAAACAGGGAAATCTCTTATTTGTAATCTAAAGGATTTGCTGAAAGTAACAGAAGTTTTATGATATTAAGTGGCAGAACTCAAAGAGACAACTAAGCTAGACAACATAAAGAAAAGTAACAGATGTATCACCAGAATGATGACTGCTGAACAAATCTACCATATTCCAAGAAGGGCTCCTCTGATATTTGAGCATCAATAGGAGGACTGTTAATATTTTAGAGGATAAATCAATACAATAGATGCTTTCTACCTCACAGAACCTTAAGCTACATATTTTGCCTAACTTATTTTTTAAATGAAAATTTATGTCACAAAAATTAGCCCATTTGTTGCCAAGTTTCACTAGAATGACTCATGGAAATACAGAGAAGGGGCACCTGAATCTTACAGGCTACAATTTGCCCATCTTTGTCCTAACCGAATCGATCCAAAAAACAGCTACTCCTTGGAGGTAAAAATTAAAGGCAGTATTGAATGTAGCATGACCAGCAGTAGAAGATAAAGCAGTGCCAGCAGTGCAACTAGTCCAAGTGTTATTACTCATCCATACATTTACAAGTGTTACTGTTCTGGGCTTAGGAAGAAGAGAGACATCCTCCCTCTCTATATGCCACCTGTAGCCACCAAAGAAAATGCAGATTACTGAAACAATGAATTATATTCAATGCTTCTCTTAAAAAAAATCAGTATGCATGTATATACTAAGGTCAGGAGTATTAGTTAATAAATATAGTATAGCATTTTTAATTAATCAAGAAATACCATTTGTGAGTTCTTCTACTAATTTACAGATATTAATGTTGAATGCCACACAAATACACATTTCAGGACTTATCAAGAGCTTACCAAAGACAAATGACTTGGTCCCATCTATTTGTGATACAGTACAGTCTTCGCTTTTCCATGAAACCTGTCCCTTTTCATCAAGGTCTTCATTTTCTCTTAAAGAACAAATCAGGGTTTTCAGGTTAGTAGACTATTTCAGGAATAGAGAGAAACCTCTTCCCTAAAAATTGCCATGCCCCTTAATGAGCTTTAAGTTGATTGGTCTTACCCAGGTACAATGTTCGTAGTTTCTGATATTAAAACTTCTGGGAAATGCATGCTACGCTCTGTAACTTAGTGTGCAAACTAACATGAGAAACAGTGTACAGAATTCATTCGTAGTTTTACCCAAGTATAAAATGGGAATAACAGCCATTTGATTCACTGCTATTTAGAACTGCTGCTTGTCCTCTATGGCGATTAGGAGTCTTTTCTGGTGCATTTCAGATCGATTGATTACATGCCATCAAGTCGGTGTCAACTCTAAGCAATCATATAGACAGATTTTCTCCACAACGATTGCATTTCAGACAGAGACACATTTTCAAGAAAACTATATAGAATAGTGAGGTTAAACCTGAACTTAAGCCATCCAGATCATAGTTCAATATTAAACATTTCACTATACTGACCCAGAGAAAGGTGGGGTGAGGGGTCTGCTCCCTTCCTATATACTGGATAAGGCCAGTTTCTTCTTTCTCTGTCCCTCCTCCAGTCTAACCTACCTTATAAGGTCCGTACTGCAAGGGAAAATTGGAAAAGAGAATCCTACATATGCTACCTTGAACTCGTGGAGGAAAGGCGACTACAAAACTCACGATCAAAGACCCCAAACCAGCAAATAAAAGAAAGGCAACAAACGAGACATCCAAAAATCCCTGTCTCACATCCAAAAATAAAAATAAAATCACCTTGCAATAAGCGGCCGCACTCTCACACAAACGGTAACACCACCCTCTTCCACCATCTCGCCCCGCTTCCCTTCCTACCACCTTTCTTTTTAAATTGAGTTTCAGTATTTGAATTTTCTCCCAGGACTCTTCTGATTGGCCGGTTGGCGATGCGACACCCATTTCCGCCCAAGATGGACTGAACCATTATTTCAGAGTGGGTTGTAGGAAAGGGCGAATGGATCCGGCCCCTTGAGGGGTGGTAAGGAGGAAAAAGGGTATAATTAATCATAATATCAGAAGGCAATATTGCATGGACTCCGATCTCTTTTCTTCCTGTGGGCAAGAGCGTGAAAAATGAAGCAACGATGTTTATATTCCTTGCTATTTTTCAAAAAAAAAAAAAGCTGTGGTGTTGATAAGTTAAAAAGGCGGGTCTTAGCAGGCAGGAGAAACGGGAAGGTGGATGCTGATTGGGTCCTTCTTGTGTCAAGCGCTGTAACGCGAGAGACCTTTCGTTGTTTTCCGCGCGCGGGATTTGAGGCCGCGGAAAGCTGTAGCTCAGAAAACAGCGCGGAAGTGCTGTGAAGTCCATGGGGCTCCGGCTTGTCGAAAATTTTATCTCTGAACCTTAATGATGTCCCAGGCCTTGGGGTGGTTCGGGTAGCGTCTCCGCTTCCTCTTGTACTGGACGTGCGTTTAGCCAGGGTCAATATAACTGTCGTGGTTTGCTAAACCAGGGTTCCTCAACCGTGGCCACTTAAAGAGGTGTGGACTTCAACTCCCAGAATTCCCCAGCCAGCCATGAAGTCCACCCATCTTCAAGTCGCCAAGGTTGAGGAACCCTGTGCTAAACCGAATTTCTGGGATTGCGTGATGCAGAGAACCAGAAGGCCGAACGAGCTGCAGGCCAGACCGAAACGCTGTTGTGATCAGACGTGTAGTCCGACCTGATCTTGTGAGGAAATCAAAAAATTAACTTCGCTGTGATTGATTATGTGCTCCCTCTGGGAGAAGCAAAGGCTGAAAGACGACCAGCTGGGAAAATAAGGGAGGGATTCGCATAAAACGTGTTGTCGTTGGAATGAAAACATGGACTCTACGGATTTCTCATATATGAAAAACGCTTATGAGCTTTTTATATTGTGTGTGGTTTTAAGCAATGTGTGTGGGTTATCTAGGATTGCCACCAGTTCCATATTTAAGTGTTTCTTTATTGAGATTACAAAAGCAGTTAAGCAGTTAAGAAATATTGTTCTTTTTGTTTTTGTCTTGGTGATGTATCATAACTGCTGGAAGCTAATTTAATTAAAACAGGAATAAATTGAGATTTATTGCTGTCCTGAACTGCTTTTTTCTTCAAAACATGCTATTTCAGAGTTATTTGTTTGTTAATTTACTCATGAAAAGTAACACTGAAAGTGAGGTAATTAGCTGTGATGCCTAACTAAACTCCTGTTAATTAGTTTCAATGCAGCTTATTGTGGATTATTTTACATATATATAATTTTGATTAAGAATTTTTGTAATAGTAAAATCTAATACAAACTAAACTTAAAATAAATGGAGAGATTAAAAAGATTGTAAATAGTGCAGGAAAAAGAAAGAGAAAAGAATATAATAAAGAGAAAAATATATAAAGAAGTGACTTCTAACTTTCATCACAAGTATAAACAAATTTAGTACCTTTTCACCCTCTCTAAAGTTATATTTATCTCTTCATCTCATATCCCATCTCTTATCTATAAACAAATCCATAAAACATGGATTTTCAGTCCTGGTGTCAGCAGAAAGTCCAAAAAGGGTAGCCAAAACAACATATCTTATTTCAACCTTGATCAAATAAACCAACTTTGTATTTCCTTCCTTTTACTTCTAACAGTCTTAATCTTTAGTTCGTTAAAATATTGTTGTAGTGTTTGATTTCATTTTTTCTTTGTCCCATCGCACAGAGCTCTTCAAGGCTTTAACAAGTCTCTTTTGTAAATCCAGAAGGAAAAAAATTATCCAGGTCACTCTTGGTTTGTCATTTGTATTTCCTTTTTAAATTTTAAAACCTCACCCAGTTTCTTTAGTAGATCCAGTGAAACATCTTTTTCCAAATCATTCTTTTGGTGTGTCAGTTGTAAATCCATTTTCAATACCATCTCTATTTTGTCAGGTAAAACTTGTTCTACATCTGTAATTTCTTCAATAACATATTTTGGACATCTATCCATGGAAGCAGACATCATTACTGACATAGTTAATATTGTGGCTACTATTTTCTGATTCCATTCTTCAAAAGTCTCCTTTAGTATTTTTATTGTCATAACCATCTTGCAGGCCTATATATCTTTACCTAAAATCTTTAGTCCCCTCTAGTGTCCAGTTTTTAAAATCATAAAATTATGTGTTGTCTTATATAAACCAAAACAGGATCTATTCCACAAGAAGCTGTTTGTACTTTATAATTAATTCCAAAATCTTATTGTAAGAGTTTCAATATTTTTTTTATTTATTTATTTATCTTATCCCTGCCCATCTTCTCCCCAATGGGGGACTCTGGGCGGCTCACAACATATTAAAACAATAAATAAATATACAATTAAAATTTATAACAAAAAATATTCCAATTTTATGTGGACATTTATAACTTTCTAAGAATGGGGGACTCTGGGCGGCTCACAACATATTAAAACAATAAATAAATATACAATTAAAATTTATAACAAAAAATATTCCAATTTTATGTGGACATTTATAACTTTCTAAGATCAAAATCTTATTTAGCTTTTTGCTGTTTATTTCAGATTTTTTAAATTCTTAAACTTATTCATTCAGGATTAAAGGCAGACTCACCTGACATTTTCAAACTTGTCATTCCAAAAGTCTTTAATAGCTTAGAAGTAGTTAATGAGCAATTTCCAAAAGTGATTAGAAACTGAGGTTTGTGAACTTAAGTGTCCTTTAAAAGTTTCCACCGTGGTTGCGAGCAAGATGGCTAATCCCTTCGTCTCCTGGCACTCAGACTCGCAAGAGACCCCTGTCCTGTGGTTTCCTCACAAGAAGCAGACTTCCAGAGCACATGTGGGCAATCTCCCATCCTCTCCTTATCTGGAGAGGTTCCAGGGAGCTGGTCTACTCACCAGTTCTTTGGTCTTTGCAGTGGTCATTGGCTCTGCTTTCGGAGAGCTGTCTTCAGTTCACCATACCTACCCGAGAAGCCTGGATTATTTATTCAATTTGTATGCTCCCATTACCAACTTGCTTGTGTGTGCATGTTGAGTCAGCGTTGACTTCTGATGAGTAAATCCCTGCAGTTTTCTTGACAAGGTTGTTCAGAAGTGGTTTGCCACTGCCTCCTTCCTATGGCTGAGAGAGAATGACCAGCAGGTTCTAGCCTGGTGCCTTAACCACTACACCAAATTGGCTTCTTGGTATCTGCACACAGTACATTAAATTTTAATGCAATAAAATATAATCAAATACTTTTGTGCCCACATTCATAAGTTCATATCTTAACATTTGTTCCTATTTTAGAGTGTATCAGATGGAAGTCTAGGCTTAACCTGTTTAACTGAAACAGCTGCCCCAAAGGTATGCTGAAAACTGGGATCTGGATCCAAGATTTGTGGTAGATTACAAGTTCTGGTTTTTGAAGACAGAGGGGCAAAGCTTGGTTAAATATGAGTTACCATTGTGGCCTGTCCTTTTAACCAAGCCTTCCAGCTTTCTGTGTCATGTTTATGCAGTCAAAGTTTACATCATAAAGGTAAAACCACTATACCCTGTGGGTGAGGGAGGGATTTGATAAATTGTTATTTACTCAGAAGCAAGTCCTGTTAGCAAAGGCTGTACTTAAAGGGTACTTAAAATTGCTGCCTTATTTATTGATATTGTGAAGGGCAGTAAAGCCTGGGAAAATATCCCAATGAAAATGGGATTTACTTCTGACAAAAATAGATAATAGAATTATATTGCACATAGCAAAGATGTTTTCCCACAATCAAATATCAGTTCAGAACAAAACATCACAAAGCACTATTTGAAATTGACAAATAAGCTATATATTATACAATACAGTGTTTATCAGAATACATGTGTATAAAAGTTTATCAATCCCTAGGAAAACTAGTACAACTAACATAACTCTTTCAAACTTAATCATCCTCATCCTCGTCTTCCTCCTCCTCCATCTCTTCCATTTCTTCTGCTTCCAGGGCCTCCTCTTGTGCAGCCTTGAGTGCAAGCTCTTCTTCCACAGTTGGATCAAATGCTTCAGTGATTTCAGGTCCAGTAACGTATTCACTCTGCACTGGGGGTGGCAATGTAGGGTTGAAATTATCTGAACTGTATTTGTGACCCCAGCCAATGTAGATGTTATCAAATCTCCTAAAAGAAAAAGCAGAAGATCCTAACATTAATGAAAATACACATCTAATTGGTAACACCCCTCTCCTCCAGCCCCCTAATCTATACCACTCTTTTCCAATCAAGGTGGGACTCCCAAGCCTCAGAATTCCCAGCCAACATGATCACTAGATCTGGATTGCACCAAAATGGGGAAAACTGATATGTAGACTAGACACTGTATATGTCCCACCAGGTTTTCTCCTTCTTTTGCCCATTCTGCATGTGTTGCAGGTTTGCAGCACAGCACATCTATTCAAATTTTCTTCATTGGGGTTTACTCCCAGAAAACAGATGCAAGACTATAGCTTTAAAAATACATAGAGTGGTATTCTTCTGCCTACACAACTGGCAGCTTATTAGCTATCAACAAAACGTACATTGGTGTGACATCTAGTTTGGCCTTTAGCAATTTCTTTTTCATGGTTGAACTAATTTTTTTGGCTTTGTTTCATAAAACCAGAAACTCAGGCAAATGAAATGGACATCTTTTGTTAAATATCAATTTTAAGATATCAGTTTATAAAGTTAGTTTGATAGTGCATCACTGTAATTAAAAAGCTCTATGTTGAAAATTCCTAAACTAATGCAAAACACACATTTTGTATAATAGGGCCCTTTAGTACTGCTTTTCTAGTTAGCGGTGGAATTAAAACATGGTTATAGACAATGCTTAATTTAACACT